TCGTCCCGCCTGCTGAAGTCATTCCACCCTAAGTGATTTGGCCAGAGAGGAGGATGCCAGAATGACCACAGACACAGAAATAGGTTGTTCCAACCCCTAGGACACCAACCATTTTTATCAAGATTCAGTAGATACTAAGAACTCACTTCTCATTTCCACTGACAGGCAACAACCTTATTACCTAGCAAGATGGGAAGATTTTAAGAAGTGACTGGAACCAAGTCTGCTCTTTGTGGCCTTGCTGGGCAGTGCTTTATTGGCACGAAAACTGAGTAAAGGCAGTCCTTTCCCCAACTGGCAGTGGTCAGTGAGGAAGAACCAGATTATTTACTTGTAAAGGTGGTTGAGAGCTGTGAAACTCCAGCAGCAAGATTCACCCAGCAGGCATACCCAACTTGGGAACAGCAGCTGAAGACATTCAATTCAGCTTACAGACTGGGACCATGTAAAACTTGACCATAAGTGGACAAGCTCCCAAAGCTGTTTATTCCATAGATGTATCCCCTATTGGCAATTGCCTTCCTCCTTATTTATCTACTTCATCTCTCCACTTTAAGGCTTCTAAGATTTCCTTGACAGAAAACAATAGACATTCACTGTACAGTACACACTTGTAATTATTAATAAAGGGTGCACCTTTGAACTTTTTCCATGTTCAGCTTGCTGGAAAACACAACAGGAAACATGTTTGAAGATTGGTCTGAAACATTCAGAAAAACAAAACAAAAACCCCTCTTGAACTAGGTAACAACAATAGCAGAAGGCAGGCATAAAGCATTTTACATCTGCCTTGAAGGCTACAGAAGAACACCCTTCAGAAGCTTTACACTAGCATTACTAGTGGTAATGGTAGTTTGGTAATGGTAGCATTACTACTGGTAATTGGTATTTTGTCTACATTTGCCTTAAATACTTTCATCCAAAAGTAAATTCAATCATAAATTTCAGGCAAAAGATAAAATTCGTTCAGATGGGAAATAATGTCACAATGATACATAAGACACCAGGGGCTCCCATTTTCATCTCTAAATGAAGTTTGTACACCCATGCAACAAAAATGTGTTCCTCCTTTACCACATCTATTGTCTCCCTGGCAGAAATCAGTATGCACATATCATACAACACACATCTAACAAACTCAGCACCAGACTCATGCTGCAATACTGTAAGCAAAATTGGTATATATGCTGTTATAACACCTAAGACAAGTATCTGTAGCCAGTCGTAATTCCAAGTATCAACATATCTAGGTTTAGTAACTTTCTTAAAATCAGAAATTAGGTAGCTTCTTGTCTTTCAAAAGTCCACTGATATTCCAGCTGAACAGGTAAAACAGAGAACTAAACACAGAAGTGATAACACATGTTCCATGAATTTATCCGGCATAACTTGAATAGAAACAAATCAACCAACGATTTTTATTTTCAGTAATATGCATACATAATTGCGTACAAAATCAAAATTTAAGTAAATGTGTACAAAATTCAAGTTGTTCTTGTATAAAATTTTCAAATGAAATAATATTAACACTTGAAGCCACACAAGAAGAACCAAACTGCCTGCTAGCCACCTATTTCCTCTACTTCAAGCTAACTTGCTTGCATCTCTCGGAAAGATAGCACAAGCTGTCAGCATAAATCACACTTTTCACTGTGACAATCACAACAGTATGTCAGTCTCCCAGAAATAGGCAACTAGGAGGAGGAGAGGTAATTAAAACATCAAAGTCAGGAAAAAACATTCTTCTGAATTTACTTTAAGAGATCAACTACTTCTAAATACCTGTGTTTGAAGTGGGGCTGTGGAAGGCCACTGCTTAACGTGGCTGAGGTTGCTTTTTCTAGGGAAGTTTGAATCAGCACTAAACAAGGATCTTTTCCACAAAGAAGTCAAATGTTCACATAAGTACCTCTGACAAACTGAACTCTGACAGTCATCCTGGCCAAAAAACCTGTGGACAGTGAACAAACCCTAATGCTTTGTGTCATTTTCTCAAACTCCTGTATGTTCCATGTTAGCTTCATTAAGAAAAAAGAATTTTTTTGGTAGCAGGTTAAAAGCAGTAAGCAGCAAAAGTAACATCTTGTTACAGCACTGTGTTGTACTGACAATTCATACAGTAACATAAATAAATATACTACAGTTGCCTCTAAGATAGCTCATCAAATCAAGTAATTGAGGTGTTTAGTGAATGATGGTGCTGCCCCTAAATACTGTCCCCAGGCCATACTGCTTGACTGCAGCAGAAGAACTTGGCAAGCTACACAGAGGTTGCATAAAAAAGTAATTATCTTGGTTTCAAGAGGTATCACTGTAAAAAAATTAAAAAAAAAAAAAAAAAGGAAAACCAAAACCAAACCACATGGCTGCTGTGACATAGTGAAGATGATTTCTTAGATATAAAGGACCTCTATTTTCAACACTGGTTTAAATATTGAAGTTTTAAATTGGGATGCCAAGTCATAAAAATTGGGCCATATTAGTGCTAAGTGAAAGGATGCTGCATGATATCTACAATCACAATTTAAAAAAAATGTACACTACAAACTATAAAAAAATAAATCATTTTACAGAACAGTTTCTATACAACAGGTGGGAGAGATTATGTCTTGCCCCAGAAATCTTTTCTCTTCTGGGCTCGTTCCAGTATCTGAGATGCAAGCGAGCTAGATGCTGCCGAGCGAGCAGAGATCTGAGACAACCTGTCATCTGTGAAGAAAGCAACAAGGGGAAAAGTAAATAGGAAGATTAAATATACCTATTAAAACACAGTTGACATTCATGGCAGACTTCAAAAGTGCAAATATTTTTATGCCCGCTTTCACAATGGGTGCTAAAACAGTACCACAATACACTTCAATTTTATTACTTAGTAACTGACATGCTGGAGAAGAATCTCACTAGAAAACTGTTAGGATGCTAGGTAAGTTTAACAGAGCTACATGCCCAGCTCTTGACAAACTCCAGAATGAGATCCCTATGGTCACCTGGGAATTGCCAGATTCTCCAAGTCATCTTTGCATTTACTTGCCTGCATCAGAAGATCTCAGAAATTGTTCCTCTGCCACTGAAGTTTGTATAGACTAGACTCTGATAATAACACTTTCATGAAAGCAACACACTTCTTCAAGCAAAGCAGGCAACCTTAGAATAACACATGACTAAAATACCATAACCTATGTTGCCAAAGTAGCTCTTCTGTGCCAAACCCAGCTAGTGCACCACAAGCTGTTAAAAGAAATGTGCCTTATGAAGAAAACAGGAAGTTTAACACAAAGACAACAAGAAGCATGCTTTAAAACTGTACTTTTGAAAGGTCTTCCTTTTGAATACAGGGTCTACTTTTATCCAGCAGAACTCTTAAAATTAAGAAGCCTGGATGCTGCTTCTCTCATAAAGTACTACATGATGCTACCTGCAGAAATGCTCTTTATGAACAATGACCTTAATTACACCCATTCTCCAGCAACAGGTTAAAAAGAACTGTACCACTACTTTCCAGCCCTCCCCTCCCTACCAAAAAAACAAATTTCCACAACTCAACCCAAACAGGACCTGTACTTTTGTCAGTGTTTCAATTAACTTTGCAGCAGCCTTTGTAAAACCTTGAAATACAGTGATCCAAGCAGCCCATAACAGGCTCACACACTGTGCATAACAGCTATATTCCCGTGTATGATAAAACTGCTAACTGCACTTCTGCAGACAGACATGTCATTGGAATAACTCCCAGGTTTGTATGTACATGAACAAATATGGACATATGAAATATCTGTGAGCTGGCACACTTCACCTGTTTCTGAAAGCTCATACATCATCATTTGAGCTCAGCTCAAAGATAAAAAATAAAGAAAAAGAAACAGCAGTTACAGCATTTAGTCTGTGTGCAGCAAGCTTGTGGGAAGCTGCAGAGTACTATAGGATTTTGTATGGTTTATGTAGATACACAGATGCTTGGCTGAGCCATCTGCACAACCCACATATTTTCCAGCCAACTGCAATGAGTAAAATAGAGAATCAGCCTGAACCTTGGTTAAAACCAAGGAGCAAACAAGCATAAGGGCTACAGAAAAAAGCTTTTGGTTGCCTTGGGGTGTACTTATAAATAAACTGCAATCAGATAGGAACTTGCTCTGCCCATACTCTAATCTAAACCAAACACAGGTGATTGCGACTACCACAGCACCACACCAATCTCAACCTCATACACCATGCTAAGTAGCAGTAGCTCAAGCTAAAGAGGCTACAGTGCCTTCAGTTGACTCACACTACTGAAACAGTTTATTTGTGTCTGCCCACAAAAAGGCCAAGATGCACCAGTGGGCTGTGCTCTGGCTGCTCCCACAGATTAACTTTACAGTAAAGAGAAAAAAAAGGCCAAAACAGCAATCAGACTAACAAGATGCCATAAGTACCCCTAATAGACTGAGCAGAGGAACAGCTGTGAAAATTCAAGTCAGAGGAATCATTTTATGCTGCCTATCTGGTGCTGAAGTCTTACAAGCAAAATCTTTATCTTAAAATTTGTGGTACCTTTTAAGTTGCACCCAAAGCTACTGCAGCTACAACTTGGGCTTTGGTTATTTTGCAGTTTGTCTCTGTTGCTATTAACACAAAGGCTTAAAAGTGTGTATGGAAGAAACGAGTTTAGGTAGAGAACTGAGCAAGCTACAGTAACCATATTGAGCCACAATCATCTATTTAATTTTCAGTTGCATTTATACCTTCATATTCATGCTTCAGATTATTACGATGAACATTTTCAAATTATTTTGATGAAATATAATACAGTGCCGTAGTTATTCATGCAAACACATAAACCAATATGAATTACTGCATTCAGAAACTGTTCATATTAGTGCAAAAGTTAAAATTAAGAAACATGATATACAATAGGACTTTGGGACAAGAAATACCTTCATCATTATAGTTTCTTTCCTGAAGGGGTAACTGGAATGATCTCATTTTTGGATTGCCAACATTCCCTAAGACAAAAAATATCAAAGGAACAATTTTTAATCCTTTCAAAACACACGAAGGATAATATTTCATTTTATAATGATTAAAAACGTTACACTATTTCCAAAACATGAGTCTTACAAATAGAAAACATACAAAAAACTTCACCAGACTTCTTTAAACTGAGGTAAATCAAATAAACTTATTCCACTGTATTCTTCTCAAGACACCTATCTTTGGTGAATGATACAAGCTACTTAGTGAATTGCACTTAGTGAACTCGAGGTGCAGAGCTAGAACACAGTACCAATTCTAACCTCCTTCTGAGGAAAGTCTCTGGATTTAGCTTATCCTTACAATGTAAGGATCAAGAAGCGTGGGACCTTAAGCAGCTCTAGAAAGTCTTTCTGGAATGGAGTCAAGCACATAAACTTTATTTTGACTAAGGGGTGAAGGATTCTTTTCTTTGTCATGTCCCCAGTGGCCCTAAACATTGTTTAAAATCTTTGAATTGCGCCAGATTCCTCCTCAGCCAAGAAATGGCTTTTCTCAATACCCAATAAATCATCTGTAGATGGCTTTTTTGTTTCCATATCCTGCAGAAATATTTAAGGATCTTATCTCTCAGATATCCACAACTCCTGCAAAATAATACTATACCATAAAGGTATCCAGTAACACACTGCTGTTGATAATTGCAGCTGGAAAAGCATCACTGCATGTAGTTGTAGCCTGAAAACTAAAAACTACAACTGTTCATGCTAAACAAGTTATTCTCATAATGAGTAAGTACTTACTGAAAATAATAAGGCAAAATTAGAAAACAGACCACTAGAATACAATTATATTAGTGGAATCCGAAACTAAGGTGGAAAGTTGTATGCATTTTCCCAGCAAGACTAAACATGTAGTAGAAAAGCTTTTGTTTACAAAACAACACATTCTTTGTAGAGTGTAAGGCAGCAAGCTCAGCAGTCTCTTGGCCTGAACGCTGCACTGAAGCCATTCCCATCATGCAGAACTCTAACACAGCCAGTTAATACCCCAAACCCACCATTATGCTGGAATTCTGGATCCTTGAGAGTCCCTCGAATACGACGAGAGGGACTCCAGCAAGGCATAGAGCAGCTTTTGGCTGACTTCTGCACACGAGGTGTAGAGGAACACTCTTGATGGGCTGAAGCAAAAGGAGCTTGCTGGTCAGAAACCCTGTTAGGAGGCCACTGATCCTGTCTAAGTGGCAGAGGATCCAAAGTTCCCAGCCCAGCAGGTGGAGAGGTAAGGAATGGCACAGCTTCCACTTCCACATCAGGCTAAAACACAATAGAAAGAAAATAATAAGAAAAAAAAAAAACAAACCCAAAAACAAAACCACACACAAAAAGCCAGCATCTCATATACAGCCTTCCAGCACAGATCCTCACATACAGAAAATGTTGGCTTTACACTGTTACATTACACTTCTCATGAGGGTACTGGAAGAGTAAGTATTTCAAGCTTGTGAGACAGCTCAAAGAAAACCTATTCCTAGTAACATGGTTTGAAAGTAATCTAGTCAGGTCAGGCCAAAAGCTTATTTGCTTCACAGCAAAAAACTGTATTCTTAGATTTTAAATCAACATAACTAACTCCTCACGCAACTGTGTCTGCTTCTATTGCAGAACTTACTCCAGGGATGTATGCAGTGAAATGCTCATCGACTTTGTAGGACACAGACTAAGAACAACTTGACCAAAAAAAAAAACCACAAAACCAACATAATTTTGAGAGGCAGACAGTTCACTCCTAAATGTTTCTATTTTTCTTTTGTTAACTATGCAAGCTGCAAAGTCAAAGATGTGCAGAAGCAAAGGAAGGCAAGAATGGAACTATTATAGCACACCTTGTACATAGGCACCTAACCTCTCCTTGAATTTCTTTCAAGTTGAGGAATCTAGACTGTGCCCTATGTCAGTAAATTTAATTGGGCGGGGGGGTGTTTGGGGTTTGTTTTGTTTTGGGGTTGGGGTTTTTTTCTGTGTGTGTTTTTGTACTGTTTTGAGGGATTTTTTGTTTTGTTTGGGGTTTTTTTAACAGATCCTGTGCATTTAGCAGAAAAAGCCAAAATGGAGCTCATCCAATCTCACTCCAATAGCCTCAACCCCTTTGCTTGATGCCACCCAATAAATTCTTGATTCAGACATCAGCCTGTTTTAGTCACAGATGCTGTGAATTTTAGAATGGTAGGTGACAACTCAAGAAAAAAAAATATTAAATAAATTATTCACCATTAATTAAAAAGCACATTCTAAAAATGCATAATTGTAAGTCTCTTTTCTAGCTCACCCGGAAGGACCTTATTTTTGAAGCTTCTCTTGCACCTTGCTTAGCTGAAGAAGGGTCTGTTCCTAAACCTCGTGTTCTCTGCTGTGAAGATGAAGACTTGAATTTAGGAGGAGACACTAGAACCGCACCTCCTATTGTAGAGAAAATGAAAAATGCTTTATTAGCTTAAATAACCTAATAAATTAATTCATACATGACTTTTTTTTTTCCCTTTAATTCTTGAAATACTACTTTGCATTTAAAAGTCTTTTTACCAACAGCTGGGGTAGTGAGATCATGATGAGTCCTCTGAGCTCCACCAAGTGCTCTCAGCTTCGGGGTTGGAAGCCTGCCTCCTGTCCTTGAGGATACAGAAGATGAATCTGACACAGCTGCAGAAGAATTCAATACTAAGGCATTCTCACTGGAAGGAAAAAAAAGAAAAAAAAAAAGGAGAAATAAATGATTAAAGGATTAGCTAAGGACTCAAGACTCTTGCACTCAAGGTTTTTGTTTCTAACACATTCCTACACTGAAGCCTAGGGCAAGACAGTTGGGGCCATAGAACACCAACAGCCTGTAGCTAGAACATCTGCTTGCAATGGGAAGCCCTGGATTCCAGCCCCCATGTCTTAGTTTCTGTCATTCTTTTTTTATGTCACTGGATAACATACATAAATAGTCTCACGCTGCAAATACAGACTCTCTCTTTCACAACAAACCTTGAATGTCTTGCTACACAGTAGCAGGGACCCAACAGGACGGCTGGAAAGAGCACTTACCCAGGAAAGCTTTGAACCTGGTTGCCACCTCAAAGAGGGGAATGTGGGTTTGACTCTTCTCAGTTAATGTGGTAGAACTGAAACCAAGTATCCCACATTTATGCAACCACTCTAGTCCCCAGGTTATTAAATAAATCAGCACTACCACTTCTGTCTTCTTCCTCCAGACACATTTCAAAAGCAGGTGGTGGCATACCCACACTGTGCAAGGAACCTGAGCCTATTGCACACTAGACACACTCTGAGGACACCTACGCAAAGAATGCCTCATTTCTAGCTCTCAAGCAGCCTTAGATAACATGCAGATGTTAAGCTGCTCTGCATGGCCAAGTCCAGAGCATATCTCAGCACACAAACCGTCAGATTACCGGATGACAGAAAACCTTCAATGTCAAACAGAGACACATCCATGAATTAGATAATCTCTAGAATTAGACAGAAACTTCAGAAGGTTTACAGGATTATGGTTTTGAAAACCTGCATTTAATTTCTAATTGACTCAAGCACCTCAACCATTCTTCGTCTGGGTTTTGCACACAGGATATTATCCCTAAAGGAGACAATTACGATTTCTTATTTTCAATGCCAAAGATAAAACCCAATGAGCAATACAAGATGCTTAGGTGGTGTGATAACAAAGGCCAAAGCTATTCAGATTTAAATATCTATCAAACTAAAATACTGTTCTAGCAAAAAGAAAAAAAAAAGTATGCAAAACTTGCACAGTAAAAAGCCACAGACTCCTGTAACTGGATATAATCTGGATCTTTCAACTGCCAAACACAGTACTATGCACTGTACTATGCACATACTGAATTGATTTCTCATTATTTCTAAACAGCCCTCCACCTTTTTCCCACCTGTGTTCGTTAACATAATCACTGGTTATTACTGGATACTACTTATTTTTTTCTACCAAGTCATTTATCTTTGACCATGTTCTTTTTTTTTTTTTTTTTTTTTTTAAGGAAAACAGATGCTTAAGTACAAGATTAGCATGTTTTCTATCCTTTCAGTCCTATTAATCCTACACGGTTTATCCAAAGAAACTTGTGAGCTTTAATTTTCAGTACACTTGGCTGCTGTGTCATGAACAGTCTGCTCTGAGAGGCCCATCGTTTTCGTAAGTTTTGGAAAAAAAAACCCAAAACATTAGAATTGTTCACTTCTACAAACTTCTGTCCTGCATGTTAAAAATCCACTATTCTTAATGATCGATTCATTTTCATCAACCAGCTCAATGCCTTGAACTTTCTCATTCCTTAGCATACTGTTAAAAACAAAAGTAGTGTCACACCAACTTATGGTGTCTTAAGTAAATCTGATTTAAAACCCAGAATTAGTTAACCTACAAATTTATGAGATGTTAGAGGAAAAGATTCTATATATACATCAGAAAAATGTTCATTGTTACCCTTCAATTTTCTTGTCTTCATTGGCATCCTTATTGTTTTCTTCTAACTGCTGAGCCACAACTGCTGCTTGTTCATCTTGTTTTTCTCCCTCTTCTGTTGATTGCTGATTCTCCCTTTCTTCAGTACCTTCTTCCTCACCCCAAACTAAACGCCTTTTGACTGGAACAGTTAAAGCATCTGACAGATCTTTCTTCTCTGTGCTGTCCTGGTATGGCTGTTCCCTGGAGTCAGGGTGCTGCAGCATTTGTGGGCTTGGAGCAGTCTCTTTTTCAGAAACTCTAGGTAACAAAGAACATGGTGTTTCATACCACTGATTTGCATGATATACACATGTCTATGTAGAACACATTTATCCAGTTTAGCCCTTCTGCCAAAACTACATCTCAGATACTAAAAAGTAGTAGAGTTGACATGATGAATGGTTAAATTTCCACTGAAGTTTTAACTGATGTTTAAGCACCATCCATCTTTAAACTAGATTCTATGAAAATTCTTTCTGGATTACCATTTCAAAAATTATAATGGAAAATTAGGGCTCTATTTCCAATTTAAACATCAAGTTAGATTATCAGAAGTGCTCAAAAAAAAAAAAATCAGTATAAAGGGACTGTCTAATAGCACAATTTTGAAAGGCAAACAGTTTAGAAAACTCCTCTCTAGGCACAACTTTCGAAAGTGTTAAATTCTCAACTGCACACAGAAATCAGTGCAAATTAGCCCAGTGCACAGAAATTACATAGAATCATAGAATAATTAGGGTTGGAAAGGACCTTAAGATCATCTAGTTCCAACCCCCCTGCCATCAGCAGGGACACCACACACTAAACTATGTCGCCCAAGGCTCTGTCCAATCTGGCCTTGAACACTGCCAGGGTTGGAGCCTTCACAACTTCCTTGGGCAACCTATTCCAGTGCCTCACCACCCTCACTGTGAAGAACTTCTTCCTTATATCTAATCTAAACTTCCCCTGTTTAAGTTTAAAGCCATTACCCCTTGTCCTACCACATCAGTAAGAGGATCTGCATTTCACAGGCAAAAAACCAAACCCATAAACCAAAAAAATTACACCATACTTAGTATCACACACAGTGTAATAAATACGTTTTTTACGTGTCATCCCCCAACCCTTATTAGGGCTACAGTCATGCAAATGGGTAGATCTCGCACACATACAGAAGACAAGTACTGCACGTACAGCAGTGTAAGTGGACTACAGACACAGGCATCCAAGGCACTGTTTTAAATAGCAGATCTCAAATAAGACAAAAATTACTTTTTCTTTTCCTCCTTCCTTCAGCAATACAGTCTGTACATTTTACTACGTCCTGGGTTCAGCTACAGCAGTCATTTTTTCTCCTTCTTAGTAGCTGGTGCCGTGCTGTGTTTTTGACTTTCAGCCTGGGAACAATGCTGATAACACCGATGTTTTTAGTTGTTGCTCAGTAATGTTTACTCTGACCAAGGACTTTCTCAGTCTCATGCTTTGCCAGAGAGGAGGGGAAGCCGGGAGGAAGCAGAGACAGGACACCTGACCCAAACTGGCCAAAGGGCTATTCCATACCACAGCACGTCATGCCCAGTATATAAACTGGGGGGAGTTACCCGGAAGGCCCAGATCGCTGCTCGGGTCTGGCTAGGTATCGGTCGGCGGGTGGTGAGCGGTTGTGTCCTTTTCCCTTGTTATTCCTCTTATCATTATTATTGGTAGCAGTAGTGGTTTGTATTATACCTTAGTTACTGGAGAGCTGTTATCTCAACCCGTGGGAGTTACATTCCTTCGATTCTCCTCCCCATCCCTTCGGGAGCGGGGGGAGGAAGGAAAAGGGGGGGAGTGAGCGAGCGGCTGCGTGGTTCCAAGTTGCCGGCTGGGCTTAAACCACGACATACTAAAATACCAATTCTGAATTTTCCTAGCAGAATCTGCCAATTCTGATAGCCTTCAAAGGAAGAAGAAAATGGATGTACACCATTCCAGTTCCTAAATCTTCATCTTGGAACTAAACAGCATCTAAGACTCAACCATAAGATTACTCAATCCTGACAAGAACACTGTTAACATCTCAATAGGCAAAACATATTTCATACCATTCCAGTGGAAACAATAGTATTACTTCAGCATGAGTCAGTGCAAAATTCCTCCAGACTTGATGAGACAGACTAAGGTTGACACACTAAATATGCATTTGTGGAGAATTATAAGAGAGCAACCTCCTCTTCTTTCAGAAGACTGGACTGTACCTCATTTTCAATTTGAACACGTATCAATTGATGTATCTATGAAAAGGTAAATGCCCGCATCTGTACTAGAAAATTTCCATATCACAGAATCGTAGAACAGACAGGTTGGAAGGGTCCTCTTAATACCATCTGGTCCAACCTCTGGGGAAAGGGAGCCTAGATGAGATTATTGTGCACCCTGCCCTATCACATCTTGACTACAGTCAAACATCCAAGATCTCTCAGCTATGCTAAGCCAATATTCATCGTTTTGCTCCATTTCAAAGCTGCACTATAATAGGCAGGAATAACAACCTTACCCGGCAAGATCTAGTGCTCTGATGTTGTTGCTGATGCCTTCTTCTGAACTGGAATTTGAGGACACATCCCAAAGACTGTTATTATCAGACAGGATCTGATTGAGATGGTCTCGGGAGAAGTGAGTTCCCTCTACTCGTTGCCTGTAAGCCTTTGCTCTTTCTCGAAGTTCTTTCACCTACACAGCAAGGTTTCATAAATTGTATGCTTGTTTAAAGTTCACCAACAGACTATTATAAAGTATTTGCATTAGCTAATAGCAGCTACAGGAGAAAAGCAAATTACTCATAATACAGGGCCACCCACATCACAAACGTCGCATGCCGCAGTAAATGCAACAAAAAGAAAGCAAGCACAACAAAAGGGTGTGTTTAGTAAGCATGTCTGAGCCATGTAGCCAAAGCAAAATTGTCAATTATTCATTCAAAGAGCACAAAAACTTATGCAGCCACTATAAATAAGTTTTGTGCTGGATTCTATTTTTCCCATCAGCACTCAGACACAGTGCTCCAAACACTGAAATAGTAACATAGATGCAACCAACCTCCATATACCACATGGAATTTAGTGTGTTTTGAGAAGCCTAAGGAGAAGAATACAGAATAATTTTAAACTTTCTTATTTTTCTCTCAACACTGTATTGTTGGTACCACTCTTGTAACTTTACTTCAATCTAAGGAAGAAATTAAGTACTAAAAACCTGTCAACATAGCTCTATGCTGCCTCCCTGAGATTCGGTAAAAAGCTGTAAAACAAGTACATCAGCACTGATGTTTCACCAGTTTTTGCCAACCTGGAGGAAATTAATCTAGATTTCTAAGCATTAACACACAAAAATACATTCACCATTAATTTATAATTGTTTCAAGTCAACAGATCTATGTGCATGTTTAATACCAAGTTTCTCTGCTGTGAATACTGCAACTGTCTCTAGCTACATTAACCTTATCTCAGGACGGAGCTGATGATCACATGAGAATTCTTGGTGTGATTGTATCTAAGACATAGTATCAAAATTTCTCCTTCTAGACTATCAGTAACTGTAAGAATGAGACACAAAACTGTTCAGGTGCCAGGTTTAGTCTTAAAAAAAATAAAAGCGAAGCCCTCTCTTCAGACATTATACTGCTAATTATACACAATCATTTTATGGCTAAAACTACTTAAACACTCACACTGTCTTCTGTCCTTCACCCAAACACAATTAAAGTGCAGGAAGAAAGAGCAACAGCAACAGCAAAACTTTTATGTTTAAACTATTAAAAATAACTTTGTGTTATTGTGTGAATTCTGGCTCACTAAGAAATGGGTTCACAGGAAATAAGTGTTTTGTCAAAGAGCAGGAAAGTAATACTAACACTTCCTCTAGCACATTTCTATAGCTTTTCTTATTTATTCTTCTTTCATGATAGACTTCACATTGTTCTTCCTGCAAGGAACAGTTAGTGGGCCAAATTCTGCTAAACCCACTAAAAGAAACTGGATGCAGCAATAAGAAATCCACTTAGCCCACACCAGCTAACATCCCATAATTCAACCGGCTAAGCTTCCAAAGAACAGCCCATTAAAAACATACGCTTGTCATTTTAAGAGGCAAGTTTAAACTTTGAGGTGCAAGTGATTTACTGGATTATTCACTTGAAGTAGAAGAATGAAAAATTAATTATGATAGCCACAACACAAGGAATATAAATCCAGAGCAAGAGGACACTGCAGGGAGGGGAAGAACAGTATCTCTCCAGTGAATTGTGAAGAAGCACAAAGGACAACCATCTCCTTCAGTGACTCAGGGGCAGCATTATCTCAGAAAGACATAGGCCCCAGAGAGCCCTACTGTGATTATGAATTGCCCACATTAATTTTTCAGAAGCATAATTCAAAGAAATTTCTTCATTCAACTACTGGAAAGAAACCCTTAATAATATATTGTAGAGTAGCAGTCTAGGAGGAATCACTATGGCTAAGGTCATACCAGGACTCTATTATGGTATGGTAATAATCGATATTACTATAGACCTGCTGGAGCAAGTCCAGAGGAGGGCCATGAAAAGGATCAGAGGGCTGGTGCACCTCTCCTTTGAAGACAGGCTGAGAGAGCTGAGGTTGTTCAACATGGAGAAGACAAGGCTCCAGCTACCTTCTAGCAGCCTTTCAGTACTTACAGAGGAATCCAGAGAGGGACTTTTTACGAGATCATGTAGGGATAGGACAAGGGAGAATGGCTTTAAAGTGACAGAGAGAAGATTTAGGTGAGATATTAGAAATTCTTCACTGTGAGGGAGGTGAGACACTGGCACAGGTTGCCCCGAGAAGCTGTGGCTGCCCCATCCCTGGCAGTGTTCAAGGCCAGGTTGGACGGGGCTTTGAGCAACCTGGTCTAGTGGAAGGTGTCCCTGCCCATGGCAGGGGGTTGGAACTAAATAATCTTTAAAGTCCCTTCCAATCCAAACCATTCTATGATTTGCCTGTTTGGGATCAGAACTTCACAAAGTTTGCTTTGGACCCAGAAATTACCCATGTGTGGTCCCAACTAAAAGAGCAACCAGACTGGATCAGTCAGAGCTTATCACCTAATAATCACATTAAGCGAGAGTTGTTTTTTAGGCACCTTTGGCAGGGGTGAGTGTCAAGAACCCACCAGATGTAGAGGTTAAATACAGCTTTGAGGAACATTTCGTGTCAGTGCACTAGTATGGGAACCAGTATGGAATCATGCAGAAATCAAAAGGATTGTTGGGCAGCCAAAGTACTTTTGTTGCTTTATAACAGAACTGATGCACTTGACACTTTTTTTCAAGTTATGCATGCAGACTTTCATTAATCTGCTGTTAACATATTTCTTAACTGGCTGGATTCTTTCTTATGTCTCAACTGTGAATGAAGTATTTCATTCAGTCCTGCTATTTTAGCCATACTGGATGCCATCTTGTATTCTTAGAACAAAAATATTAATGGATGCTACAAACAAACAAACAAACAAAAAAAAACCTCCAGTCAAGAATTGGGTCTATCAGGATTTTTTATTCTTGTATTAGAGGTTTTAAGAAGTAACCCTGGTTTTCTCCAACCTCTCCTGAAGACCAGAAAATTCCAAGCTTGAATCTTGCTCCTTGCTTTCACTACTCCCACAAAAAGTTTCTTATTAAGAATTATAATCATCAGGGATACATATGAAATATTAAGAAGATAACAGCAAATTCAAAAAACTATGTAGAAAAAAAAATCCCCCACAGAAACACATTTACACAAGCTAAATATTATTCTTTGTCTACTAGAAAAACTAGTTTGGTAAGCTGTCCTGGTTTTGGCTGAGATAGTGAAATTTCTTTATAGTAGCTCCTACGGTGCTATGTTTCAGACTTGGGCTGAAAACAGTGCTGGTAACGCAGGGATGTTTTCCCTATTACTGATCAGTGCCCATACAGAGCCAAGGCCTTTTCTACTTCTCACCCTACTCAATCAGCAAGCAGGCTGCAGGTCCACAAAAAGCTGGGAGGGGACACAGCTGGGACAGCTGACCCAGACTGACCCAAGGGACATTCCACACCATAGGCATGTGAGCATATAAAGCTGGGGGAAGAAGCAGGGGGCGTTTGGAGTGACAGTGTTCATCTTCCCAAGTAACCGTTAGGTGTGATGGAGCCCGGCTCTCCTGGAGATGGCCAAACACCTGCCTGCCCATGGGAAGTGGTGAATGAATTCCCTGTTTTACTTTGCTTGCACAAAAAGCTTTTGCTTTACCTATTAAACTGTCTTACCTCAACCAAGGAGTTTTCTCACTTTTATCCTTCCAATTCTCCCCCCCATCTTGACACGGGAGTAAGCGAGTGGCCATGTGGAGTCACTGCTTACTGGGGTTAAACCATGACATACGCTCACAGAAATGGGATTTTAAGTCTAACAGATAGGAGAAATTCTGGTAAGTCCAGTTATAAAATGTCTCTTTTATATGAGCTCATATTAGGATCTAATGTAGGCACACATACATAAAAATGTGTATGTAATCAAAAATGTGTCTGTAATTTAAGCACCTTTGCCATCAATAAAATATTACTATAGTTTTAAGATGAATTTGGCTCTTCCAGCTACCCAGCACAACTTCTTCATTTAGAAGGCCCTAAAAGTCTTAATATTTTTTAATTCTTCATGCCTACTGCCAAGTGACTTGTTTCTGGTTTCCTGCAATTCCCTTCTCAGCAAGAAAATCTCCATGGCAAGACACATCCTAAACACTTATCTGAAGTGTGGTAATTTATTGTTTTCCCATACACTCGAATTAAATGCTCCGTAAGTCTTTGGAACTGCTGAAAATCTCTGAAATGCTGCAAATCTCTGAAACATGACCCATAGAAGATCCTGCCTGGTAAAGCAGAACATCCATTGTCCACTTGCAGATTCCTCATTCTTTCCCTTGACTATACTGCAGTGACTCCTCCCAGCTGGCTGTGCCTCAATTTGCTCCAAAGCACTGCGTCCCTTTCCCTTTACTTGCTTACCAGTCAGTTGCTCTTGAAGCTGACCACTGCTCCTGTTTTGAATGTTACTGATACAGCATCCAGTCTCCAAATTAAAGTCTTACATACCAGAGAAATGACATAATCTTCTACAGAAATATCCTGCATACCACTTTGTCGGGCTGCATGCAATAGTTCAGAATATTCTACAGCCTTAGTTACAGTAAATTCAATCCATATACCAATACATGTAGAAAAAAAATCACTTGTTTTTAGTCCTCTAGTATTGTCTTGAGGCTGTTTTCACAGAATGGATTACCTCATGCATGCATACACAAAATCTGATTATGAATCATCACATACTACTCTATAGTCTTAGTACCCTTTCACACTGAGTATTTTGTATATATTAAATATATACATTTGCCTAAAAAGAAAATTACTTGCTAGATTAAGTCCGTTGAGAAACACAGAACTGAATGCTACCACATTACTCCTGCAATTGTCAGAGGATGCTAATTTCAACCTCAAAGCCCAACACCCTAGAGCCAACTGCTCCAGTTCTACCTTACACAACAGCTTCTCCCAGCTGACAAGGAAACTCATGTTTTCAGGTAGTTGCAACATGTTTAGCAGGCATCTTACAAAGGCTCCCTCTATCAGCTGGGTGAAGCCTAAGTCAATTCAGTGAAAACTGACAGCGGCAGACCTAGCTCTAGCAGTTTCTTAGTATGCTGGTAACAGTACTGATTTTTTAGGAAATCATGTGCAATAACACTGCTAAGAAATCCTATGGTACTGAAGCCGATCTGCATTTTCAGAGTTCTGTCAAGGGAGTTCTTACATAACACCAATCACAGTTACAGAACAATCTACAAGAAAATACTTACACTGGCTGAAATTTGCAAGAGAAATTCTCAATCTGATGTTGTGTAGGACTGAATTCAGCTGACTGCTTTGAATGGATTCAGCACGGCAAGCTAACAAACTAAGCCTGACTATCAAGCTGACCTAGGCTGATACGCAAGTTGGCATTTTCCTTTTATTCCCTTGGAATCTCTTACCATCCAATTCTACAATTTGAAAAATTCTGCTTGTTAAAACCTGGTTCAACATCAACACTGAGGTTATCTGCTCCAAGACACTCTGTTCTGAATCATTCTGACTGTAAGGAAAACAAAACTCCTCCTTCACTTTGGATGTCACATTTGTATATTCTTTAAGTCAGAGCATCTCTTCTTTTTCTTACTATATATTATACTGATTTGTCACAACCTAATTGCCTTTGTATACTCACCTTTGGAAGTATTATAATCTCAAAACTGTATCTTAAAAACACCACAATTCAAAGTCTTTCGCATCTAAAAATCAAAATACAAATCATACTCTGGCTTCAGATTTTTAAAAATACTCACCTGGTTGGGAACTTTACTCCTAATACGAGACCAAGCTCCATCTTTGTAGAAATACTGAGCTGGAGACAGAAATTTTGACCTATATTCAGTGCTCATCTTCCTAAGAAATCAAGAATGAGAAGAGGAAGAAAAAGGCAGAAAAAGTAAAGCTTGACACCCAGAATACTCTTTAAGAGCACTTTTGAAGTATACTTGCACTTAAATGCCAGGGCTAAGATGTGAAAAACCACAACTCATCCATACT